GTTCTTAAAAGAGACCAAATGTGAATACATTGTGCAGAGTGTGAGAATAACTGGCATTAGTGTTTTGTTTGAAAAAGAATTTAAAAAAATTCATTGGAAACCTAATCCAATGCCTATGAAATCCATTCTTCATCAAAGCAAGAAGAAACCCTTTGTTTGCTGGATAATTAAAGTCTGATTTGTACTTTTTTGGTTTTTTAAAGTCAATGGGATTTCTTTGATAATATAAGTAATGAATTGTTGGTATTTTAATTTTTTTTTTTTTTTGCGTAACTTGAATAGCAAATAGCACTGTCTTTATGAGCACTCCTTTATGTATTTTAATGGTAAGATGGACAAGTTAGGACCTCCACTGCGAACTGGAAAAGATGTGCAAAGGTTTTATGACGCTGATGCAAAAACAGACAGTACCGTCTAGAGGCTAATTGAGTTGTTGTCTGTAAAGAAGTAAGTATTTCAAATCAGTGTGGTTTATCTAATTTGCAAAAATGTTTCTCCTAAGCAGAAAAGTGTGCCCTTGATGAACATCAGCTGCCCAATACGTCTTCCATATAAATGCTGTGGGAGAAGAGTAGATTATATAAGAGTGAAGTAAATAGCTTCATAGGACAGTAAAGATGACTGTTTCCCTCAGATTTGATTTCTTCTGTCAGTGCTTGATTACAGATTAAAAGTTACAAATTTGTGTCTTGATTACAAATTAAAAGAAATGAACTTAAGCATTTCTAAAATAAAACCCAAGATAAAACTTTTTTGCATGATGCAAATCCGAAGTAAGCATTTAAGCCTGATAACTGTACTGTTTTTTGACAAAGTAATTTTATTCTCTTAACGTCAAATATTACTCTAACTCCTACATCTGTAAGGTAACTGTGATGGTCCAAAAACATGAGGAAGGCAGACTTTATAATGAAAGATAAAGTCTTCGTAATGGAAGGTCAAGTCCAATTTACCTTATATAAAGACTTCTGGATATTCAGAAGTCTTTATTACATCTAAGTTTAGAAAGAAGGTTATTCCAATTATTCTAATATTTTAAAAAGGAATTAGATACTAAATTGTAGTTAAGCCTTTGTTATATTTTGGAAGATGCCAAATTGAAATAGGCTGCTTTTTTATATTGTAAAAAAGAAAGTAATCAATTATGTGGCACATACATGGACTGTATTGCTTTACATAGTAGAAATGTGCCTGAATCTCTTAATGCTGTAACCAAAGCTGTAGTATTTTTGAGACAGGGACAGAATATTTGACTTTGGTTTTGAAGAAGCAAAAGCAATGAAAGGAATAGGAGATTTTCTTAGACAAACAGGAATTCTTTTATTTGTTCCTTTGCATGTTTGGTTAGAGTTATAAATCCTGTGAACCATCAAAAATTAGCACAGTTTTTCATTTTGTATTGCATTATTAAGATGTTGGAAATTTAGCTTAGTGAGTTGCTACAATTGCTTAAAATAGGCCCTATCCATAGACCAGTGATTTGATTTTCATTCTTGAGAAAAGTTCTTTAAAAGTACCGACACTTCTGTTCTTTGTTCAATCCCTGTTGTTCTTACTCAAGTATCTACTGAGTTCAAGAATTACTACTGCCTTACTTGCAGTAGGTTATTCAGTATATTGCATGCCAACAGCATTCAGCAAGTGTGAGTAATTCCTAACCATTCTTAAATTCAGCATAACAGTGTGGGTGGTTGCAGTTTATGGCAAAGGTTTCTGGACTTTGGGATGCATGCCATTAGTCAGCAGAAAATTATTTATGACTTTGCACAGAACTATGAGTTGCTGTGAGTAACAGTGACAGCTGTAAAGAATATCTGAGAACACTCTTAAGAAGCAAGACTTATATATCAGTGTTTTATGATTCATCAAATCATGAATAATGTGTGCATAGAAAAAGAAAAGCTTCTTTTACAAACTTCTTTCAGATCTTTATTTTGCAAGCCGTGGTAATTCAACTAGATGTATAACATGAGCTGCTTTAGGAAGGGAAGTCACTTTCAATCTTATTTCTTTTAAAATAGAGTGGATAATAAGTTTCTTTATAGTATGTCTAGTTTTTTAGGGTTCCAGCTGGTATTGGTACACCTTGTCTTCTGTCAGTCTCTATTCATACTTCATGTGATACAACGTAGAGCAGGGATTTATATAGCTTTTCAAAAGTAAAATGCAAAATCCAACCAAACAGGAAAAACAACAGAAGTGGACTGGTACATAGAAGAGGCAGAGATGGGGCAGATCAGAAGAAACCAAGCTGTGGTGGCACAAGTTGAAATAACCAAAAATATGTGACTGTGTTTGAGGGCATCTGTCTCTAGAGATCAGATTTCTACATTAGGATGCAATTTCAAGATTTGTCACCAAACAAACGTGAAACCTGATGCTAGCTGTGTGTCTAGATCCAGGCTGAATAAAGTTGTGGACAGTGGCAGCCTACTCCTTGTGTTGATTTACTCATCAAAAATGTCAGAAATCACAGAATGGGTAAGATTGGAAGAGAAGTTTCTGGTCTCAAAATATTCTATATTTTTGGAAAACTCATTGTGGAAAAAGACTGCAGCTATTATTAAAAAGCTATGTTTAAACATCTTGAAATGAAGATTCCCTGTTAAACCTTTAATGAGTGATGTTTTATCTGTTCATGAGACTTTGCCTCCTTTGATACACAGGGTGGACTGTGCACTTTGAATGTGGCTTTTCAGTATTTTCGAATTTCCTCCCCTCCTCAGCTCAGTCAGTGGCCTGAATGCTGTATTGAAACACTAATTTCTCTGAAATATCTTTAGTATACACTTAGTACTAAAGCACAACATGAATTTTCAGAGTGTTTAGTGAGTTGAGGGTATATGATATGGTTGAAATACAAGGAAGAATAGTGGACTGGTTTTAGTATCAATTTATTTCAAATATCCAGGACTTTTAACATGATGTTCAAAACTGATTCAAAGTACACTCTGAAGAGACTTCAGTTTAAGAAATTAATGCTGTTAGTTTTGAAAAAGTAGCATGTTGGTCCCAAGGTGAAAATCCGTAGAAAACTGAGTCAGTAATAATTTTGAATTTTTTTTTTTTAATTACTTGGAGCTGTCTAAACAGGAATGAGGCACATTTCTATTTTTAGCTTCATTGCCTGATCAGCCCTGATCTGTGATGATCCCATAATGTTTCTTTGTGTGCAGCTGAATTTTTCTTTATATGCTTTTCTGTCTTCCTTAAGAGGTAAAGTAACAGTCCCGTATGTTCTTTATACTATAGAGCTCAGTTATAAGTAAAGGTCACTGTTGTATAATGAGATTGAGAAAATAGCACAAGATGAGTATTTAGCATCTGTACATCATAGCAATACAATTTAGCTTACATTTAGAACTTTTATTCTAGAATTGTGTAACTTCAAAAGGCTGCCATAACTTCCAGTAAGTTTTAATGCTCATATAACTGATGTAGTGCTTTTCAGTGTGCACAGAATTTTTTTTTTTTTCAATTAAGTCCATCTTTAGAATCTCCTTGCAAAATAAGGGGGCAGACAGGAAAACTAATGGAGAAGGTTAGTGTTCTGTCCAGTGAGCCATAATCTTTGATCATCCCACTTTACTTTTTTTTCGCAAGTAGAAGCCATTCTTGTTAAACCTGAATACTTCAGTTAGATATAATTTCAATTTATTTAATATTAAATTTAGTTGCTGATTTCCACCTTAGTGCTTAATTATTTGATCACTGTCCCACTGGTTGAAGTGATAGAAGGAGCTGAAGAGCTCTCTCTATTCCACATGCATGACGTGACATGAAGGGAGAAATGTTTTATGCAACATGTATATGATTCAGGAGTTATTACGTGTTCCTCAGTTGTATCAGTGTTGCATTTGAAGTTACTGGAGTTGAATGCATTTCCTTGTATGTGGTTTGAAAACCAAACAAAGACAAGATAGTTTATAATCTTAAAAGATCAGTTAGGTTTATCTGAACGGAACTATGGTCTCTTGGTGACTAATTTTTTCAACTGTCTTGTTTTATTTTTTTTTTAATGTCCTTGAACAAGTCCCAATTTAAATTTCATTTATGCATTGGTGTTCAAGAACAAGAACAGAAAAACTTGGTCATGCACAAGATGTCATAGTCTGAAGATTTACCAAAGAGTAAGAAATCCCAGTGAATGGTAATTCTTTTGAGCAATGATGAAAACTTCTGTCCTTGATCATTAATGATAAAACTATGCCACTTACATTTTATTTTTCTTAGTGCTACTCAGATTTTTCAGGGGATTCTGATGTTTCTCTACTCATCAAAGCCAGTAGCAAGATGTTCTCAATGTTTGGGATGTGCTAATCATTGTCACTGGCTTCTCATAATACTCCTGAGTCCTGAGGGAAGCGGTTTCCATATCTGTGTGGTCATACTATTGACCCCAACTTTAAGAACACTGTGACAGTTCAGAAAAAATTGAGGCCCTAATGCCCACCTGGATGCACTTTTTCTTCTCCTTCTATTTATATTTATATTCATAAATATAATTGTTCTTTGAAGAAAAAGGATTTACAGCATTATCTAAGAAGAAAAGGTCTTGTTCACTTCGTATTGGTCACAAAGTGTTGAAAATACAGTATCCTTTCTACAGATCTTTAACTATTAAAGTCATCTGCCCTCTATTTTCCTGAAAGACCTGTCAGTCCTAAAAAGCGACTTATAATTTGTCAAGCTAGACATTACAATGTGCTGAGCAGCCAATAATGCAGGATCTACCTGTTAGGAAGTGAGACACATAAACTGGAAGGGACTTGCTGTTTCATTTAATTTGTCGTTGTAAGGTTCAAGTCATAACAGTTCAAACCATGCAAGTTTGTGCCAATGCTGCTGTTGGTAGGAAATGAGTTATTTTTCATACAGTTAACTAATGTGTAAATTGGTGCATTTTTATATGTGTGTGTATATATATAACTTGAAAATGCGTATTCTTGTGTGTATTTCTCTGTATGTGTATAAATCATCAGATGTTTCTTCTATTTTAGAAGTGCAACAAAAACCCGGACATCAACCCCTCCTAGTGTGGCAAGAGCCATGAGCACGGGTGCTTTAACAAACAGAAGAAAAACCAGCAATTCAGATATTTGCTTAAGGTAGCTTTTAACTTGGTGAATTTTGTCATTAATAGAGCCTTGATTAAAGGGGATTACTTACTACTAAAGAAGTTGGGGAATGTATTATTCTCTGCAGCTAATAGATAATATTATTTGGCTTGTATAAGATGCTCAATATATTTTGCATGTTTGGCACACCTTTGTCATCAGCTGTCTCAGATATGCACAGAAGACCCTGTTGGAAATGTCAAAAAACGCATGGGAGCTGTTGAAAAAATAATCAAATACTATTTCACTAGAAACTTAATGATATCTACATGCTAAACACACAAATTGTCTTGGCCTTTTAAAGGGTAGGATGAAAATTTTATTGCTGGTGTAGCCTTTCTTTTTTTGACAAGCTAAGCTTTAAGTTTTCAAACACTCCAGTTTATCAAAGTAGTCAGTGAAACATTCGATCCTGCTTCTAGAACTCTGGTTTTTTTTGTTTTCTTGCAGGGAAGGTGGGTATGTGGAGATACGTATCGGAGCCTGGGTAGCGTTGTATATAAGATATACCACTGTAAATAGGAAGTGCAGGCATGAAAATCACAGTAACAGTTGCTATATTTATTGCAAGGATTAGACTAATTTTACATTTATACTGGACTGACTTATGGAGAATGTTCTTCATCTGGGAATTTTCAGGTCTGATGGGAAAACTGGGTGTGACAGTGGAGACAGCCCATCCTCAGTCAATGGAGGAAGTGCAAAAAGCAGTGAAGGCATTTCACCTGTACAGTTATCCAAGTTCTGCCATGAATGTGGAACAAAGTATCCAGTGGAATGGGCGAAGTTCTGCTGTGAGTGTGGAATTCGAAGAATGGTTGTGTGAACACATTCTTTAAAGCAGAAAGAAAACAAGAAATTGGAACATCTGCTATGTACTGTTGCATGGAAAGCTTGAGCACTCCATCCAGTAAGACTTCATGCTGCAAAGATCGAAACATCATTTTGTAATTTTCTGAGTGCAATCTTCTGGTTACACAGTTATTTATAAACAATGATATATACTGTATATAAAAATAGCAGCTACCTAAAAACTGTGCCATTCAAGGAAATACTCTTTACTCTTTGTTGAAAATATTTAAAATTATGGTAAAAATGCATTAAGTAACCTAGGTAGCAGAAGAGGTTCAATGTAATTTTTTTTTTTGTAAATTCTACTAGGCAAAGGATTTTTTAAATCTCTTATGTAGAGTAATGCTTACCTATAGGGAACTAGCCATGAACAACTTGGGCTTCAAAAGTTTCTCCGTGGAGGCATTTCCTTCATCTGTGACAATAACTTAGATGCTGTGTTCAGCATGAGACAACATGAGCAACTCCTTATAAATTCCTAGGAAAAAAATGTAAAAAGTTTGGATCTCTAAACTCTCTAACAGTAATATGCTAATTGGACTTTCCAGTTGCTTCCTAGAAATTTTTAAAGAATCTAAGTGGAAAGACTACCTGAGAATTCTCTTTGCATCTAAGAAGAAAGGCTAGATTTTCTTTTTGTGGCTTTCCATGTTCTGTTTTTCAGTAAAAACATGTTAATACTTTTATGTATTTATAAGGACAAATATGATATTAATTCTATTATTATTCATTTTATTAAGTTCCTTTTGTTTCAGAATACTTGTCTTCCTCCTCCTGTGCTCCACCACAACTAGCATATCTAAAGCTGTTGTGCTTTGTCCTATATCTGAAGGTCCTCATTTCCTCGAGGAAATTCAAAGTCCATACTTTTCCTACCTAAATGTTGAACTCTTATTGTGAAAACAGCCTTCTTGATGTATCCAATACCAAAAAAAAAAAAAATAGTTCTATAAAAATGAATGCTATTAGAGCAATAGAACTTGATGTAAGTAGTGAGTCTTTTTTTATTCTCATTCCTGTGAAAATAGCATATGAATGCATAGGGGAGTAACTGTGCTTCTGTGCTTCACTGGTATTTGTGTCAATACCTGACTTTATTTTTTTTAATTTTGATCTCATAACAGTCTTTTCAAGTTAGTCATAGACATCACATTAATCCATTGGGAAGAAGGGAGAGACTCAAAGTTGTGTTGGGTATTTTACTAATTACACAGTAAGTTAGTAAATTACACATTTGCTAATAAAACTACTCACAAGCCAAATCACTTAACTTGTATCTTAATGTAGTAATTTATTTTGTGAAGTCTTGCTTTGAAGTGCTTGCACCATCTTTGTTATGCGTGGCAGAACAATCTGAAATAACTTATCTGTGCCTTTCCCACAGTAAATACATTTTTTGTCAGAAACTGGTACTTTCAGCTCACAAACTTCATGAGTTTCAATTAATTTAATTTCTTTACAACTTATACAAAATATAATGTCGTGTTCCCTGATAGTATTATGGTTGTTGCTTGCATTCTCAAAAACTGTGATTATCAATCAGGAAAATTTGGAAGAAAGTGTGATTGAAGAAAAGCATCTTCAAAGTAGATACCAGTCTAAGAGAATGAGTGATTTAAGAGACCTGATGTAGTTATATTGCAGGCCACAAGCTGTTGATGTTTTAAAATTCAGTTTAAATAAAGTTCAGTGAATGTCTTGCACTACTTTTAAATTATTTTTTTTTAGAAATTATTCTTCATTCAGTGTAGTCTTTTCATAACTGGTATAAACTGGCTACTGAGCATGATAGGATGGATGACTCTTAATGACACAGCTGACAAATCCTAGCCAGTTTATTTTCTAGGAATTTAGATTCTAGGATCCGTATTACTATTCACATTCGTGTCTATATTTGGAAAAACTGGAATTCTGCATTCTTTCCATGGATAAGCCTGCTTTGGAAAACTTGCCCTGGACTTGGGCCATGGAGGTCTGCAGACTGAAGTATTGTGAGCTGAGAGTCCATCAGCAAAGATACCAGTCCAGAATAGGTTTGATCAGATAGTGAATCCTCTTACCTGATGAATTTGCAGTTGTTTCTGCTAGAAAATTCATTTTTCCACTTATTAAAAATGCTTTCTACAAAGGGAATGTTTAGTATGACACTAAATGCCTTTCAGGTTTTCCGGAGTTATTGTAACTGTGGGAAAAAACATGTTGACTCTTTCTCCTTTAAATTTTAAGTGGCAGATTTCCTAATTTCAAATTAATACTCATACAGCTACTGTATTTTTCTGCTTTGTGAGCTGTTTATGAGATTCTTTGCTTTCAATGCAGCATTAAGTAAATTACTTGAGTAGCACATCATTTGTTTCATTTACACTCGTGATTTTATCATGAGGATTAGATAGGGAATTAACCTGAACAGAAGGAAAGGTTTTTAAAACTTATCTTTTAATTTGGCCCTACAAAGAAGGTCTGTGAAACTTAAGTGACTGTTGATAGTAACACTGGGTAATGTGTGTGTGTTGTAATCTACAGTAAATATAAGCAGGCAGTGAAATGCTTTAACTGTGTAGTTTGGTGCTATATGCTAACTTATGAAAGGCCCAGTGTGTGTTGTGTTTATCAACTGGTTTTGTTACTGAATGACATAGGTTTCTGAAGTGTGTGATGTTACAGACCCTAGCCTGTGTTACTCAAGGTATCAGCACTGATCATTGTAATTCCATCTCTGTGAATGTTTGTACAAAACTGGATTGGTTGCTGTAACATTCCTGAAGAACTGAATGTGGAAAACCAATTTGTTAAATTTAAAGAAAAAAAAAATTCAGGGAATTGGACTGAATTTTCAATCCTTAGTATATTACATGTGTCAAGAAGTTTCCAGATTTAATTTATTGATGATCTACATCCAAACCCTCTTGCCCTAGTCTCCACGCCCTTATGGTTTTAATGGGAGGAAGAAACATGAACTATGCACTGTCTGTTTATAGCGAAATTTAGTGATGCAATTGTTGTGATTATTTCTATACCAATGTATAATCCTACAACAGATTTACTGTCTGCCATTCCATCTTCCTAATGTTCTTACTAAGGTTCTTCTATTCATTAAAAAATAGGGGGAAAAGAAAAGGTGAAAGGTAAAATTACATTTAAAGAAGCAAGGCTGGTTTTGATGTTTGGCCTGAGGAAGTTTGCATTCCCATTCTACTTTTGTGATTTTCTCTTATACAAAGGACCTCTCTGTGCCAGGAAGTGCAGGATTATCGGAGCTATGCTGATAGAAGTGCAATGGAGTTATGAAAAATGCTAGCTTCAATAGTCAAAACAGCATACCATAAAGCTTAATCTCTGTATGATGTACCTTACACAGGTTTGTATTTATGCATGATGCCTACACCCTAGGTAGTTTCAGAACTGGAATCTCTAAATATATAGTAATTAAAATATGTGTTTATATGGATAATTAGTCCTACACAACACTGCAGGGAGGTGGGCACAGGGAGGTGCTTCACCCCCATTTGAGGTTGTAACTGAAATGAACATACAGGCAGAATTTTTCAAATTTGCCAAAGAGACTCAAAGAGCCCTTGAACTCCCTGGAGGGAGTGGGAAAGCTCCACCTGAGAGTTCCCTGGTTGGGAGGATGTCGGGTGGGGGGAGCTCTCCATGGTGCTCTGGTGCTGAGCTGCAGTGCTGGGGCAGCGCCTGCTGCAGTGCAGCCACGCATCCTGCGCCTTCACAGGGTGGGAACTGCAGATTGTGTTGTAACACCTGACCCAGTCTGTATGCAGCATGGAAGTTCTCTGTCATCTGCAAGGGACTAGCTCCTTATTTCACCATCACAGCTGAGAGCTGGTGCCTGAAATGCAGGGAGAGTGTTTCCATATTGCCTGCTTACTGAGTCAGTGGAAGGAGGTATGACTGCAGTGCTTTAAATAAACAAGATATGTCCACACTGATGTAGACTGTAAATAGTCTGCATATAAAATTAAATGGTATTATCTGTGTATTACAAAGGTCACAAGAAGAGCTAGTTTCCATCACATCAACTTTGTATATCTGCAAAGAACAAACCTGTTATGAGTGTTTTTAATCTTGGCTGAAAAATTTGTGTTTAGTAAGAGCACTTTTTTCAATTTTATTTCTATCCGGTTTGACTAAGCTATGAATAGTTATATGGGTTGTATGAGAAGGTAGAATTTTCATCTTGGTAAAATTTGTTTTAGTGGCTCTGGTGAAAAAAGTTTTATTGCCTTTCAAGTACAGTTTATTCCAACTCGTGATTGTTTTGTTGCTGGTTGGTTTGGTTGGTTTTTTTCCAACTTGCTAAGTAAGGTTTGAGTGACCTAATTGTGTTGTGTTGTTGGAAGAATTGTTAGGTAAAGGACTCCATTAGCTGAATTCAGTAGTTACTTGGTTAATATTTTGTTCTAGTATTCACAGTATATAAGAGATTACTCTTGCATACTAGTTCATATATTGTTTTGTTTTGTGTTTGGTTTTTTGGTGTTATGTCAGTTCAGAATAATACACGTTTCTGGAGGATCCTATTTAGTCCCATTCCACTTCATCTTGCCAGAAAACACCTTCTGCATATTTTCTCTTAATAAGTGTTTGTTCTTTACAAAAATAATCAGTAGGGAAAATATATTTCCCCAATTTGAACATTTGAGTCAGCAAATCAAATACTCAGTTTAATATAGCTGAGTATCTAAACAGTTCTATACAGAAGTGCATGGTTTACCATAGTTCTGTATTTCAGTTTGGCTTTCTGGCAGAACCATGAATGGATTTGGGTGGGATCTGTAAATTGCTGAGTACACTACAACTGTTACAAAGCCTACTTCATATGATTGCTCTAACTTTTGGTGTTCATCATTCATTTGACACTTAATATGTTTCTCTTTGTAAGTTTATTTATTAATGTTCTGTGTTTTTAAATGGTGTGTTCATTCATGTGTTGGAGATGATTAATTATTTCAGCATTGCATTTATTATGTTTGCCTTGCCCCTTAGTACATGAAATATTTGTGACCATCCAGTGAGGTTTTTTTGCCACAATTCCTCGGTTTGTTTGCCTCTTATTTTGTATATTATGTTTATTTTAAAGTTGAAGTTCTGTTTTAATTAATAACTGTAAATCACCACCTAATGCTGATTTGCCACTTGTTAACAATAAAGCAAATATGCCAATAAAACTTCTTGTGATGCGCAAATTTTTGTAGTCAAATGTAAAGTTATCTAATATAACATACCATACAGGTAGGTAATATAATTTCAGACTTATGAATATTGTGATGCCTGATCTGAGGTACACAGAGAATAGGGCTTTTAAATTGAGCGAGATGAGATTTGGATTCCTAAGTCACCTTGAAAAATATACCAGATATTTAAATTAGCATGATCTGCTTATATGAAGTTAACTCTGTATCTCCTATTTCCCCGGCTATACTGAGAATTCAGTTTATGTAGAGCCCATCACTGTGACATCTGTAGTATTTCATTATTTTTTTTCTTAATAATAAAACTGTAAGGGATAATAAACTTGAGCTTGATCTGAGTTTGTTCTCCTTCATGACATTAGAACACTGTTTTGTTGATGAAATTATTAAGAAAAAAAACCCAGAAATTTATATTTTTCTTCAGAAGTTCATTGATGTGAGCAGAAATTACAATAAGGGTTTGGATTGCTGATTGCTGGCTTTTTTTGACTAAATATGGATGAATAGAAATAAATTCCTCTTTTCATTCCTTTTTTTAGGGGAAACTTCCTTCTACTGAGCTCTTTAGTTTACTTGGAGATACAGATTAGATGGGTAGACTATTCAGTGGAAAAGGAATTGACTGGAGTGATACAGCTGGAAAGTTGTGGTCAGTGTCTCTATGTCCAATGGAGGCTGGTAACAAGTGCTGTCCCGCAGGACTCCTGTTTGGACTCTGTTTTGGTGCTCTTTTAATATCTTCGTCAATGATCGAGTGTGATCAAGTGCACCCTGAGCAAGTTTGCATATGACACAAAGCTGAGCAGTGCAGCTGACACACCAGAAGGACAGGATGCCATCCAAAGTGACTGGACTGCCATGACTTCTCAAATATCATGGATAGTGACTTAGATACTTTCTCTGACAGTTCCCTCAGAACCCACAGATGTATCGTATCAGGTCCCATGGACTTGTGCATCTTTAGGTTCCTTGGATAGTCTCAAACCTGAACGAACTTCTTGTCACAACTTTGTGAAAATCCTTTTAATTTAAATACCTAATTTTTTGTCCTTGACACCTTCTCATAAATTCCATGTACTTCTAAATCAGGGGTTTGACCTACTCATATTTTCTATGGCAAATGAAATAAATAAAAGCATATGTGAAAGTGACAGGGAGGTAGGCCTGATGGTGACAATACCATGCACAGTTTTTGTCCCTTTGCCAATTCCTGAAAAGCACTTTAGTGCCACATTTGGAAGTTCAGGAGACCAGAGGAAGTTCTCAAATGGAAGGAACAAACCAAAGAGCACAATTTACTGCAGTTAGCAATTAGTGTTTGTATGTAAGTGGTGACTGAGGAAATTTGGCAGAAAGAATCAGGCAGGCAGGATATTTATAAAGAGGAGTAATCAGAAGCAATCCACAATTTCATAATATATTTAAATTTCTGCTCTCGATCTACCCCAGGGTAGTCCTGGAATTGCTTTATTTCTCTCAAGACTTAAGTTGTGGATTGCTGCTGAAGTAACTTAAACTGTTTGACCTTTCAATTTTGTAGTAGCTAATACCACATCTGTGTATTTTTGCTTTAATTCACATTGCCCTTTCCTTGCCAAGTGGTTATTAGGAAATAAGTGCTGGCTTTCAACTGTTCCTGAATTTCCAAAAAATACCAAAACAACTGTTCCTCAGTCTCAAAGACCAACTGAATCCCCACAGTCTCCTGGGTAATCTTTCAGAAGAATGAATTTCCAGCAAAGTCCTTAAAGTTGTTACGTTCTCTTTATCTGCAGTATGATAGTGGGAAATATTTCCCTGTTCCATAAAAGATTCATGGGTTGGGGTTGGTTTCAGTTTTTTAAAGGGTTTGGAGTTAAAGTTGCCATCTCTTACATTAAGAGCTAAAAGAAAATATATGACAGTCTCAGTCACAGTTTGCAAAGTTACCTCTACTGCCTCATCATCACCATGAATACATGGGAGATTGGAGAGGGTGTATTTCAGGACAGCATGGCATGCTTGCTTTGCTCTTAAACACTGCCCTCTCAGATTCATTACAACGATCTTATTCCAGTCAAATACATAAAGCTAGTGCTGTTTACAGTCAACTGAGAAAATGGTACTTTGAAGCACATCTTACTGCTTTTTCAGGTGTTCTGAATACCAAAATTTTTAAAGTTGTTTTACAGAAAAATTCTTTAGCACAGATAAAACCATTTATATTAGTTTACTTTGAACCAGGAAACAAACAGGCTGGCTTAACTAAAGCTTTCATGAAGTATTTAGTCCAAGGCAGATGGCTGGTATGGAAATGTTTACCTAAACCGGACACGTTACAAGCAGCTAAGAAATGGGTATTTTAAAACAGGAAGTCCCTGCTGTGCTTCAAATGACTGACTGGCTCTGAAAAAAACCTAAAAAAGAAGTAATGGCAGTCAAAAAGTGAACAGCCCAATTTCATAGAAGACAAATATTTTATTATCAAAGGAGTTATATCAAAGTAAGAAACTGCAAAAGAGTAATAAACAACTACAAAAAATATTTATTCAAAATTAAATATGAGCACTTTATTAGTTAAATGCCAATATATTATTCTCTGAAAATATTCACACACTTTAAGTCATGTTTGCCTAACATCTTAAAATATGTTATATAAAATAATTGCATATGAGAAATCACAATCTGAAGTTCAAGAATTCTAGCTCCTCCTGCAGCTAACTCTGGGTTGATTAAATGCATGACTGCATTTAATTTAACAGTCATGCAGTGATGTTACCAGTCAACTGAACAACTTCCATTTAGGCATCTCCTTTTACTTCTTCCACAGGATTCAGTCTTGTCTGTGCTTCAGCTGGCAGAAACGTTGCATCTCTCAAAAATCAGTTCCCTTCCTAAGTTTTTCAAAAAGCTAACTTTTCCCCTGCTTTTCCAAACCCAAATCAGTTAGCTGGCTCATCAGACCCACACTGAAAACTTCTGTGTCAGGAGAACATACCCAAGATGAGTTACTTTGTTGGTCCTTGATGCATTTTGCATAGATATAAAGAAACCAGCTACTTTTTCATACTCTTTACTTCACCTGCAGATTCCCAGATGTTTTTATAAATTCCAGTAGACACGTAAGTGGCTGCTTTCATGTTACAGTATTGTAAAGTTACTTGAAAAATCGGAAAATTCAAAGTGGTTTCTAGAGCACAAAGGTTGGACACAGACTTCTGCAGAGTTCTTTGTTTCAATTCTGGTCTTCTATTTCCACTTCATGGACTTCAGCAGCCTTGCTGTCATCTCCAGGAGCAAGGTACAGTAGCCTTCCATCAGAATTCTGGCATAAAGTGTTCATATAAGCGAGCAAGGTTACTTGAAGAATGCATATAAAATGCAAAGATACCAAGTAATGCCACTTCAAAAGAGCAGGATTCACCTGGAATCACCTGGAAATTATTTTTTCAAATTTATTCCAGCAGGATCGAAGGCTAGATATATTTTCTTTCAGTTCACAAACTTCTTGGTTACATTTCTTTTTGGACTGTTCACCTGTCTCTGTATCTTCTATGCTCAATACATCTAGGCAAACCTGAAACAGAAGAGATTGTATTGTTATCTGAGAGCTGCTTATTCTACTCCTGTAGCCATCTTTCAAAGCAAACCAATTGCCTTATATCTGAATACTGGAGAGACCCTGCCCATGGGACTGTGGGAATGTGGCTTTAACTCAGAGCAAATAAGGTCACCTAAAACCAGTATGTCCAACTGAGAACATGTACATCCTCTATCACAGATTAAAATTTATCCTCCATTGTCTGAAGGACTGAGAAAATAAAGCAAATTAAATTGTGAGCCAAACTTTGACTATATGTGTTGAGACTAGTGGAAATAAACAGACCAGTTCCAGGGGCCAGACAAAACTATTGTGGTTCTTGTTCATATTCAGTGACTGCTCATAATTTTTTGCTAAATTACTTTAATTGGTCTTAAAATAAAAATAGGAATCCATAAGGTTAGGCAGGAGTTGCAAGGGTGACACTGACTTCTATGACTTACTTGACTGGGATACCTTTAAAGTAAGGCAAATGTTGAATTCGCCAGAAGTGACAAAGCCAAACATAGACCAACATAACTTTGAAGATCTCATCACAGATTATAAGTCTCTCCACTTCCAGGAGAAAAATAAAAAGTTAAATGAAGCCTTCAATCCATCTATTTAAGCATTATATCCTTTGGTGCCTATGTGGAGATTTTTTGATGTTGGTTAATATTTTTGTGTTCAATAGGTAACAGGCACGCTTAAAAGAACACTCTTCCTCTGCTACAGTAGTCTGTAGATCACTGTGCTACATTTAATGTAATATAATTTAATAATGTAATTAATGTACATTTAATGTAGCCTCAAAAAGAAGGTTCTGCCAAAGACTGAAAAACCAAATATTATCATACCTAATTGTTTGTGTTGAGTTTGAGATATTGCGGTTAAAATAAAGACCAAAGAGATTATAGAAAAGAGATAATCTCACCCTCATCTTTTGTTGAAACAAAATTAAACATTACTCTTAGGGTCAGTGAGAAGTTACAACTCTGACTCTAGAAGTTTAAACACCTTCTGTGCACGTCTGGTCCTCGTCTTTGGAGAATTAACTCACTTATTTCATTACTGAACTAGAGCAGGTATCTTCATCATAGACCTCCAGATGATTGTTTTAGTCTTTGCACTGGGCTTAATGTCTATTTACAAGACAAATGTTATACAAAGCAAGCTTTCTCTGGCATAGAACATGTGCAAGATGTATCTTTTAGAGGTAGATGTGATAGTCTGTGTTGAAGAGCTCTGGAAAATAAGCCAAATAGTTAAACTTTTACTCACTAAATGTTAGTACAACTCACCTTTGCTATTTTAGGTCTTTCACATTTACACTGCAGAACTTGTAATGTCCAACATGAGACAAATGCTGCTTTCCATCTAAAGGCTTTGCTGATTCTCTGCTTATTAAGGAATCTGAGCATGTTGCATGCCATGC